GCGCTTGTTGCCCAGGCTACGACTCCATTGTCCATTTTTAGTGTGGCTCTTCCGCACTGACTCGAATTGATGTGGTCACGGCAAGCGAAGCTAACTAGTTGATGTTGCAAACTAATGTGTGTGTTGTTGTGTACATATCTGCACAATCTTATGAACGCCGTTCTCGCCATCACGTGGATGCGAATGGGGTTTATGTAGATAAACTCGGTTGTTTGTATTGGAGTTGTGATCTTTATTTTGTCAATTAGCATTTAATTTCTTTGAAATTTTGTGAGAACTAATTTTAAAGATTTTCTCTAACGAAATTTACAGGGCTCCTCATGAGTTAAATCTGTGGCTCTTTTGTATTTGTATGTTTTGAAGTTACGTGGGAGTTTCTGTGGGCACTCACATTCTTAACTCGATTGCAACTCACTACGAAGTGATAACTAAAGTCTAAATCCGAATACGGCTTAAAAAAAAAGAAAGTGCGCCTGGGCTACATTGGAGAAGTGAAACTTACATTACATACATATCTATTTTGCCTCATAACCAATATACATAGGTACATATGTACATACATCTGCTTTTGTTTAAGGTTATATATTTTGTCTTTTTCCGACCTAGCTACCAGGGATAGCAAAATCTATTAGAAACTCGATAAAAACATCGATAAAAATATCCATAACAAAATCTATCAAAAATATCGTAAAAAATATCCATATCAAAATCGATAAAAAATTCGATAAAAATATCGATAACAAAATCGATAAATATCGATAACTAAATCGATAAATGCCGATAACAAAATCAATAAATATCGATAACAAAATCGATAACAAAATCGGTAAATATCGGTAACAAAATCGATAACAAAAACGATAAATAACGATAAAAAATCGATACATATCGGTATCAAAATCGATAAAAATATCGATAACAAAATCGATAAAAATATCAAAATCAAAATCGATAAAAATATCGCTAACAAAATAGTTAGAAATATCGATAAAAATATCGATAACAAACCCGATAAAAATATCGATTATTTTATCGATAAGTCCTAAGGATCCTAAAAATCTCTAAAATCCCAAATTAGTTCCCAGATTGAGTCTTTTACACATTTATTTTAATCTTTCTTAAATTAACCTTGGTCTTCATTTTTGCCTTTATTTTTACGCATCTTTGTTTTTGTTTTTATTTTTACCTTTGCCTTCATCCTTTTCTTTGTTTATGTACGTATTCACCATTACTTTCATTCTTGTATTGGTCTTTTTCTAAGTGTTATTCTTTAACCTTTTATTAGCAAATTTTTGTTAAATGAATACCATATGCATGCACACAAGAAGCATTCGTTTCAGCCCCAACCATTTCCGTTGCACTATTTCCGTGTGCAATTTCCTTTGAATTTGCCAATTTACTCCCAACTAACCAACCGCAGCTAAAGTAGTTTCACTTCAAAAACTTTAAGTGTTGGACCTAGTAAATGTTTTTCTCTGTTTTCTGTTTGATGTCATATTTTTTCTTTCCTTGGTATATGTACATACATACCAGCCATTTTTGTTTTCAAATTAAAATTTTATTCAGGTACACTATACATAGCTAAGTTAATTTGAAACGAAGCTTAATACTTCAAAGGCTTCTTCTGTTCTTATGGGGCTTTCACTTTATTAGCATTACAAAATCCAACTGAAAATAACTTTATTGCTCTTGGACGTAAGTAAGTATGTGTATATATAGGTGGTCATGTACGTAAGAGAGTAAGTGCGGCTCCAAAATTGTAGAAGAGCAACCAAAGTAGAAACTAAATGCTGCTTCAGCTAGTCCCCCTCAGTGCCGGTAATTTAAGTAGAGAAAATCATTTAAATGCAAATGAAATGTTAAATATAGAAATCTTACAAATTCAGAACGTGTTTTTGGCAACTGGTGAATAATGTTGAAGGGAGGTGGTAGTTAGGTAGAGAAAACTCACCATGAGTAAGTAAAATATTAAGCAGAGCAAATAGGATAAAAAATGGATTAAAGCCATAGACAAAAATTTAAAAAAATAATAAAAAATGTTAAGTAAAATAAAACAAATTAGAAACACAAAATAAAAGATATGTAAAATAAGGAAAAAATATAGCTGAAAAGAAGTAAAAAAGATAATCTAACTAAAATAAAATCAAAATAAAAACAAAAATTAAAATAGAGCAAAAGAAAAATGTGTAATAAAACAAAAAAATCAAAATAAATAAAAATAAAATAAATAACGGTTGAATGAAGAAAAATAAATAATTCAATAAAAATGGCAAAATATATAAAAAAAAGGTAGATAAGCAAAAAATTAAAAATAAAATAAATGAAAAGAGAGTAAGAACTTATTTTACTTTTGCTGACATGCGGCAAGGAGAGGGTAAAAATGACTACAACACAGCTTACGTAATACTTCAATGACGCATTACGAAAACAATACAAATAAAAAATTTAAAAAAGTACAAATGTGTATAACAAATTCAATTGAATAAAAGAATTATTGTGTTCTAAATAATTACAAAAAAACTAAACGATCAAAGAAAAATATAAAAAGTAAAAAAATAAACTAAAATAATATAAGGTAAAATCAAAAAAAATAAGTTATAAAAATAAATTAAACAAAAAAAAAAACTATACCAAATGGAATAAAAAATAAGTCTAAAACAAAAAAACAAAAAAAGGCATATACATAAACATAAATAGAATTAAAAGGGACGTAAAACTATAAAAAATTAAGAGGTATCGAAAGGAAATAAAATAAATTTATGAATAAAAGTGAATTACAAGGTAACAAAAATAAAGTAGTAAAAAACTAATAGAAAAAATAAAAACGTTGATAATGGGGTAAGCGCTTTTTTTACTTTTGCTGACAAGGGCGGTGAGAAGGGGTTAAAAATTACGAAAACTTTGCTTACGTAATACTTGAATGGCTTCTAATGAAAAAATTAAAAAAAAATGTGTTAAAAAAATGAATTAAACAAAATAAGACAATGAATAATAAAGCAAAATATAAAAAGTAATAAAAATATCATTAAAAAAAAAAAACAAAAAAAAAATATTATATATGTTAAAAAAATAAATTTAAGCAAAAAAATTAGACAAAACACAACCAGATGAAATAAATAAAAAGTAAATAAAAATTTAAGGAAATATTAAAACAAAAAAGATATTGAAATAAAATAAAATAATACAAAATCAAATAATATGTATGTATATAATAAAATAAAATAAGATAAAATAAAAAATACAAATTTTTTAAACTAAAAACACAATAAAATAATTACGAAATTTAAATAAAAGAAAACACAAAACTTTAAAATAGAATATAAAAAATAAACGTTATAAAATTAAGAATTAATAAAACTAAATATTTCAAATAATCACATAGGAAAAATTAAGATATAACAAAAATAAAATGACAAAATAAATAAACAATTATTAAAGAATATAACAATAAAAAAATTAATGAAAAAAAACCAATTAAAAAATACTTAGAATAAATAAATTAATTAAAAAAACTTGAATGAAACTGATTTGATGTGAATTAGACCAAATTAAAATCTTAAAATTGTTTAAATTAAACTTATTTATTAAACTAAATTAATTAAATCAAATTACATTGAACTAAACTAAATTAAATTAAATTATTTATATTAAATTAAACCAAATCAAATGAAGTTAAATTAAATTGCATTAAACTAGATTAAATAAAGCTTAATTAAATTATTTAAATAAAATATATTTGTAAAAAATATGAGTTAAATAGAAAACAAAATCTATTTTAAATATTTGACTCAGCCACTCTATTGAATAACCTACTCTAGCTGAGGGACGCAGAGCGAAAAGAAATGGAGTGGCAGGGCACTTGCTCAACTATACTCCACTCCAAATGGTCCAATATTGCAATGAAAACACTAATACAGGTTCTGCAGGGCACACTATATTGGACAGGAAGGTGGAGGAGAAGGGAGAAAATCTACTGCAGCAAGTAACAGCAAGGCGGTACAGCGGGGAAAAGCCTTATAGTAAGCGGAGCCTAAGGTAGACTCTCCTCTGCGCTAAGTAAATGGCCCGGCAATGTTGGGAATGCGGATATTGCGAATAAAATAAAAGAAAAAGAAAATAGAAAAAAAAACGAAATACTGTAAAAAGAAGAAATGAGCAAATAGTTAGTTGGCACTGCACAAATGGAGAACTGAAATGTTGAAATTACTAATTAAACTATGAAACAATTTTGCAATTGCAAACAAACAAACAGATGAACAAATGCCAACAATAAAAAAAGCGAAAACTTTTACGAACAACAACAAAAATACAAAAAGCAAGCTAATTCTTGTTGTATTTATTGTTTACGCGTTTGTGGAGCATTTGAGCGCCGAGCTGAAGTTAAAACTTGTAACCGATGCCAAGCGGTTGAGCGAGATTGAAAACGGCAGCACTACACAGGAGCAGCAAGTGAATATAGTTGCGTTGAGTGGTTGCCAATGAATGTTGTTGTTATTATTTTTCACAATTTTTTCTTTATTTTATTTTTTTCTGAGTGAGTGTGCTACTGTGCTTTGCTGCTGTCTGTTGTTGTTTTTTTTGTAATGTTTTCTTTAGCTGCGCAGAGAAAATGAAATCAAAAGTAGGAAAAAGGCAAAAATGTAATAAATAAATATAAATAAAATTACGGGGAAAAATAAAAAAGTGTGAGAATGGAAAAGTAAACTCTGCAAACTGACAGAATAACAAAACGTGGATGACCTGACTAGATGTGTTTTTTTTTGTATTGCCGCAACTCTCATTCTTAATGCTGACACTTTTAAATTGTTTCTCTTGATTTAAAAAAGTGCAGTACAATTTGCTGCTCTTTACTCATCACCTGCCTACATTCATAACTGCATACATACATATGTACATGTCAAAGCTTCCTACTCATACATATATAATATAGATTTAGTATACAAATATATGTATATTCCACGCAAATTTCTCTTACCTATTTACGTTTTTATTTATTGCAGGATGACCGGTGGCGTATGAGTGACATAGAAAAGTTCCATGCAGATTCTGCGAAAAATATTAGCAAAGTTCATAAAAGGTATACCTTCACATAGCTTATAGAAATATTTACAAAAATGAAATGTTGGACAGGGTGAAGTCTCAGTTATTATGTCTGGAGACTTGATTGCCGGAGACACCGTGTATTATCTTAGGTGTTTTAGCTATTTAAGATGAAAAAATTTACTACGAAAAAAAAATAAAATTTATTTTAAAGTGATTGGCATATTTTATAAGTGAAATATTTAAATTACTATGGCACTTGACTCCACTCTTGGACCTCTTCATAACAAACGATTCTCACGGCCGAGACTGCTGATGATGCCACAGAAACAAAAGTCAGCAAATGGCATTTCCTCTTACACTACTCAGCTCATGCTGGTCCGCTCAGACATATGATAATTGTCAGTAAAGTGAAAAGCATTCTGTCTGCCATACTGCTCGAGACTCTCTCTTATTTTGCCCAGAGCAGTGTTCGGCAAAAACTCATACATTCCACCATTTCAATATATGAGTGTGTGGGTGCTGAGAGAACTGCTCACAATCATACTTAACAGAACCGCTCTGCATTATTCCGATCGCGAAAATAGGTAAAAATATGCATACTCACAAGTGACGCTGCACAGTGGTCTGTGGGTGCAGAAAATCTACGTTTCGATATGTCTTAAAATATCTGATTAATTGGCTGTCTAGATTCAAGAAATACATGTTATGAAAGAAACGGGACTTGTAGCATTCAAACTGCACAGGAAGTCGGTGTTATATGAATTGTATTTCTATGCAAGAATTTTAATGAACCTTTCAAGGACTCAACAGTGGTGTTGAAAGGTGTGTTGTTATTGAATTTGTCCTTGTTTTTAATGCCAATTTTAACAGGTTTTCATATTTTTTCTAAGGTGAGGTGAGTTAACGTGAGTTAGGATGAGTCGAGTTGAGATGGGTGAAGGCGAGTTGAGGTCAATTTAGTTGGAGTGAAGTGAGTTAAAGTGAGTTGAGTTGTGTTTATGTGAGGAGAGGTGAGTTGAGGTGAGATGAGAAAAAGTTGAGTTGAGATGAACTGAGGTAAGTATAGGTGGGCTGAGTTGAGGTGAGTTGAGCATTCATATAGAAGGCATCTCCCCCTCCAACCATTTTCGTTGCATCCGCCTTATTGATTTTTCAATTCATTACCGCCACCAAAGAAGTTGCATTTGAAAAATTGGACATATGTATGTATACTATTTATATATCTTAAGTTAATGAAAATTTTTCGAATTCTTACAAAGGCATAGTCCCTAAAATAAGTACTCTGGGTTCGCACCTGCATACGTGTAACTTCATATAACATTTTAACGCATAAATTAGACAAATAATTTTTTGTATTATATTCAGATCTCTTACGTGTAGCCCATACATATGTATACACCTTTTATGTATGTATATAGAATGGAGTTCAAAGATTCCTAACAATAAATGTGAGCACCAAAAGATTTCGACTCTAAGTGTGCATTTATGTATTGCATGATATTTTGCCTTCCATTTTTCCATGTTTACTATTATTTAGTACAATTGAATGCCAATTTCATGCTAACATTTCCAAGTAAATACTATCGACAAGGCTGACATGAGGATATTAAGGCAAATTGTTTTCAACACAGCAACCATGTATACCACGTACATACATATCTATGCATGTAAATATGTATGTAAGTAGCAAAGACTCAAGTCTTCCATCGATATGACTTCCATTGCATGCGTCAGAGTGATTCTTATCGTTATGAGGCAATTTATATACATGCATACATATTTACATACATGGATGCTCCTTACTAATACACAAATTTTTTGCAAATGTTCTCGCACACAAATACGCAGCAGCATATGCACATCTGTTCATACACGTGTGTTCACATGTACATATGTCTATTTGCTTGCATGAGTGTTTTAGTGAAGCTGTTTGTGCATTCTCCTTGCATTTTTGCCTCTTTCATATGTCGGTTTTGTATAGCCATAGAAGTTACAAGTGGCATTAAAAAGCATTTTAAGCGCCAGCAAGAAAACTTTTTAATTTTATTGTCTTCTTTTACATATCACTCCTTTCTTTCTTGACTTTGTGAACTAGTTTAAATAGAGCTGCATGCGTGAAAAAGCAGATAACTCAAAAATAGTGGTCAAAGTAAAAAATGAGCAAATGTTTGCTAAAGTATGTACGTGTGACATTTTCTACAATCAGGCCACAAATATGTTGTTACGTATAAATGAATTAGCTTTTTTTGTGAAAAAATTATGTTAGAACATAATTAACTAAATTTATAGATGCAAAACGGAGGTAAATAAGTATTTATTCCAAATTTTAAATACAAGAAGGAAATATTTCAATCAATTGATTCAAATTATATTGAAACTAAACTTATGTAGGCAGCTTAGAACATGAAATTGTGTGACCTTTTTACTTATCGATCAGACATGGCCTACCGTGAAAACCATTTAGTTCGGTGCTTTATAAGGTAGTATATCTTCCATTCCACTAATTGTTCAGATATGAGTTTTTGTTATATAACGCCTACATTTTGGTGTGAGGTGAAGGTAAAATATTTTTATTAACTCCCAAACAACTAAATTACAATGAAGTAATAGGTTGAAGTAAAATGTTCTGATGTTCGTTAAAGGTATGAAACCTTCGGCATACATACTATTTGTTTTATTATGACACCTTTGCACCAAATAAGCGATATGTATGCATATATTTTAGTTTAATGTCAATGGTATTTTTTAATTTTATTTAACATAAACGGAAAAAGTTAATTTACATACATTTTGGAAATGTGTCAATTCTTTTTCAAAATAATTTGATGTAAAAACGTAAAGACACTACCTTTAAAATATTTCAATTAACAAATTAACTAAGTCAAATTTTATTTTAAAACAGGCAGCAATCTTCAACAAAAATAATATATGGAGAAAGATTTCTTTCACTTATTTCGTTTGGCACCAGCGTTTTAATATTTCATTTAATCGCTCATTGTATTGAACTGGAAATTCTGAACTATTAGCAACATCTAGCCGTTAGGATGGAAGGACGTTACGGTTCTAGGGTTAAACAGTATAGGTATCCAAAGCTCTCAAGAAAATTGTGAATAAATATTAGTCGTCATTATTTCTGTTCCTTCAAATGTCACTTTGCATTTGATTTAAATTTTGTTGAAGAAATAAATATACGAGCATTTTTTTCTTCAGAGCTATCAACTGATTTAAACAATTTTGTTAGAAGAGGATATCTTTTCCATTACCTGAACGTCATTTGATATGACGTGTGTATGCATTTTTCGTTTTTCTTGAGAGCTGCATACTACTAAGCCTCAGTCGTTTAATACAAGTATAGTAGCATACAAATATCCTATATTTTCGATTTTTTCTTTGGTGACTACCAGTTATATACAATTGCTTCCTTATTCCATGAAAAGGTTAAATAGCGTACATGCGTCGATAAAATATTGATGATTATGGCAAAAACCGATATTCACATAAGATATATGTATGTATATACACTGTTTGGAAATACCTTTAGACATTATTTAACCCATTAAGATAACGTTTTTCTTTTCCGTTTGTACAGCATGCCGACTCCAACATTTAAGAGCCACCGTTGCCAGTCATTGGTCAAGTCAACAACAGGCGATAGCCACACAGCGGTAGTAGCAGCAGCAATAACAACAACTAAAAACAACAACAACATAAGCTAGATTAGCTTTGCAACTCAATTCGATTGGATTCTATTAAATTGTAAATTTTATCAACGATAAAAATCGCCAATGCAATCGAATGTATATATGTATGTATGTATGTATGTATCGAGAGTGAGTTGATTGCCTACATCCTGGCAACCGTTTTCCATGCGCCTCTCACCCATCTTCACAATTTGGTAGCAGCCTATACTGCTTTGTTAATATGTACCTACGTTTAATAGCTGCGGGCTGAAGTTCTTTCTAACAACGCCATTGAAGCTGTGGCTTAAATTGAGTTGTGCGGCGGAAACGGAAGTGATTGACCCGTATGCGTCGCAGGGGTGATTTCGCAAAAGCGAAACAGTAAAGAATACAAAATACTCTACAGCTATCCTTTAGCTAAAGGCGGAAGCGTGTACCAGACACGCATGCTGCACATATATTTTCTTTTAATGCTTTACAGCGACTTGTTTGTTTGTTGTGGCTCTGCGGTGTTGTTGTTTTTGCCTGCTACCACTCTTTTTCCTCAGCCATTTGATTTTCTTATAACTTCATTTAGTTCCTTTCGCTCGTTTTTTTTTATTTACTTTTATTTTTGCTGCTTAAATGTCTAAACAAAAGCAATGGGAGGAGGGGTACCTTGCTTGGCTATTGAGGAATAAGAAAATATGTGTTTCCAATTTAATAGAAATCATTTGCCGGCAAGACGTCACTTACCTACTCTTATTTTTCTTTGCTTTAACTTATTTTGCGCTCTCCTTTTTTATATAAGTAGTGCGTTGCGTCTATGGCTCGTGTATACATATGTACGTATGTAAGCAAGTAAAGGTGGTGTATATGTACATATGTAGGTGTATGGGAGAGTACGTGACCCAGTTTCGTATTTAATTAAATTGCAGTATGTTTCATTAGTATGTCTATTGCGGTATCCCGTAACGCACTTATAGCCATGAGAGAATGAAGAATTATATTTAGTGGCTCCTTCGACCTGGGGAGTAATTTGAATGAAGAAGTCATTGTAAAAGATGTTGTATGTATCTGAATCTTCAAGATATTGATAAAACAGATTTTGAGCCGATAGGCGCCGCTGAAGCCAGGATATCTATCAGTCCTATCGAAATGTGATGCAAACATAATGTGACCAACCGTACTTCATGTACTTCGTACTTCGCAGTGCAGTCAAACGTACTTCTTTGCAATATTTTGTAATTCAGGTCTGTACTTCTCCGATCTTCTGGACGATCGTCACATGGCTGAGTCGTAAATTCGTTCAAACCCTTCAAGTCGCCGGGGACCGATGGCATCATAACTGCGCATTTGCAAAGGGCTTTGGAAG